CTATATTATATAAAACACACACACAGACACAACAAACACACACACACACTATACTGTTATTAGAGAGAGAGAGAGAGAGAGAGAGAGAGAGAGATCTGCTGGATTTGGGCTGAAATGACTCCCGTTCACTCAGCTGTGCCTGAGAATGAGTTATGATGAGAGTGACAGCAGCCACGGTGGAATTGAACCAACCACCCACTGAGCCACTGTCTCACCCACTGGGTTGGAGATATAGCTGTGCTTTTTTTTTTTAATAAATATGAACTCATTTTATTACAGTTAAAGTGAATTTATTTGCACTTTAAGATAAAATTAGAGGAAAGTCAGTGACAAACAAAAAAAGATCATATTTAGATTTTATTTTTGTTTTTTGTTTTTTATTTCAATGTTTTTTAGAGTCATTGATAAACGACAATTAATATTTGTTTTTTAATTTTTTTATTAATATTTTTTTGGTTTCAAACCTGTGGTTCATGGTTTCGAAACTTGAAACTTTTTTTCTAATTTTTCCAAACCAACAGAAGTCTTTATTAAAATGTGCAGCGACTGTAGCTGAAGGGTGAAAGACAACACAACACAACAACACACACACACACACACACACACACACCTCCTCAGCCCCCAGCCGGTGACTTCAACCTCCCAACGACCAAATCACACACACACGCTCACACACAGACACACACACACACTCAAGACTTGATGTATGGGCCTACAGGGCCTGAGGGCGGGGGGTTGGGGTGAGACAGAGTCGTCTCCCAGACATGTTGACCCGGAGAAAGAGCTGTCGACTGAAGACCCAGTCGACAGCAGCGTAATTATCACCGTCATTACATTTGACTGGAGAAAATACAGAGATGTTTGACACAAACCACGATCAGGATAAAAAAAAAACCAAGACTTCATTCATCGATCGGAGAATTAAAATAATAAACACAATATAATATACCATTTTTTTACATTTTTTTAATGCCAAACATAAAAACTCAAAATATCAAAATATTGTAGAATACTGTCCATAACTGTACACGCAGTCAAATATGAACTTTGCAAAAACATTTTCCACAGTTAAAGAGTGTGATGAGCCGTAAAACATCCTTCCGGGGTCGTGACCTCTGCGGTGATTTTACATAGAAGACTATGTCACTTCGTCGTCGCCGCTGTGTTTTCACCACTAACCTGACGAGGTGGTTAAAGATGCAGAACGATCGGGGCTGCAGAGACACCTTCCCAAAGTCGTTCAAACCCAAACCTGTTTCCCTCCGGTCTCTGTTCTGGTGGATCCGTTTCTGTCCCTAGAATCGTATTTCATTGTCTCACGGGTATTTGAAACCTGCAAACAAGAGGCTGAAATGAATAGCATTTGATCGTGTCAGCGTCGCAGTCAAAACACACTCCAAAGTTTTATGAACCTGAGCTGACACTTTTAATATCAGCACCACTTCAGGCTCCTATCAAACCATTAGGGATTAACGGCGGCGGCCGTGGCTGAGGTTTTTCCCACCGTGTCGTCTTCTTTTTTTTTTTTTTTTTTTTTTTTCAGCGCTGATGTCAGATCAGCCTGTTCTCAGAGGAGCGTTCTCGACAGTCACGGTCAGGCTGCCTGTGTGTTTATGATCAAAACCTCATTTATGCAATAAATCTATTGTTGAATCACCAGAAGTGAGTAAAAAACTAATAAATTTAACCTCCAGTGAAATTATTAAAACTGTCAAAATTCATTAATTTGTGACATTTACCAGATTTCTTTTTTCCCTCTCATTTCGTACTTGGGTGGAATGAGGTTACATTTAACATTATGTTATCACCGCTCTAACACACACACACATGTCGTCATCTACACCGAAAACAGAAAAGGTTTTAGTTTCACAGACGTTGCTCGAGATTAAAATAGTCACAAATATTAAATATCTTATATATTCATAAATATTGATTTATCTCAATTAATAATGATCATGATTAATCATCATTAGTTTGACAGCAATGACTGGAGATTAATTAATTTTATGGAGGAACAGCAGTTCAAATAAAAAGGAAGTGAGAGAGAGAGAGCGGTGACGATCCTTCTTTAACCCTCGACTCTGATCCTCGTGCCTCGTGCCTCTCTGCGTCCGTCATCGAAGACAAAGGGAAGCATTGTGCTCTGAAAGCCTCTGCATCTCTGTTGACTTTGGTTTGCCGCTGCTGCTGCTGCTCTTAACACTCGGAGTTTCCAGATAACTTCCGCTGTCATCGTTGAAAGGTTGAAAAGCCCCGGGGCCACGCCCACCTGCCCCTCACACCAGGCCCTGCTAATTACCTGAGCATTACCTGGACTAAGCTGACAGGTGGAGGTGTGCGATAGAGGTCTGGGAGGGTGGAGGGGGCGGGGGGGAGGACAGGCCTGGTTGGACGTGACCCGGAGTTGAACTTGGACCTGTGAGAAAATAACTGCTTCTCCAGTTAGACCGCCAGTGTCACACCGCAGGGCTCCTTCTGGAAACCGTCCTTACCTCGCCACACAACAATTAGCCCGGAGGAGCTGAGCGGCCTGTGGAGACTTGCAGTCAGACTTGGCCTCTCTCTCCCTCCCTCTCTCTCTCTGCCTGTCAGCCACAACTTCTGTTTTCACAGGGAGAAGTGATTGGAAAATCCCAGCAATTAATGTAAAATCTGTCTCTGTTCCACGGATGGTTTTGTTAATCTGGTTTTATTTGATGACTTGGCAGACTGCAGTCGACTAGATCCAGTTTTTGACCCTTGGCAGAGCAGGAGATTGAGTGACTGTCTGTTTATTTACCTCATCTTTATGTCAAATGTCAGAAAAATTAAATGATCTTTCAGTTTTGGAAAAACAATATCACATGAAGTCAAATTAGAACCAGAGTTAAAGTTTCTATGTGAGTTTGGTGAAGGAAAAAAAAAAATCTGTGTCAACTCTGATTCCAAAACTGTTCAGTGTTTAAGGTTAAAAACAGTAGAGTTATCTGTGTCAACTCTGATTCCAAAACTGATCAATTTTTAAGGAGTTCAACACATGGTAAAAACTTATGGAAGCTGTTGGAGGAATATTCTTTTCATTTATTACTGTATATTTACTCAAGATAAACATTAGTCATTATTTTAAATTATGTAAAAATGTCACAGATCTCCGTGACTGGAAACGGTTTAAAACCCGAGGCCTCAGCTCTGGAGAGCAGGTTCATATGTGACACACTGCGAGTGTTTGCGCAGGGCGTCAGAGCAGGGTCTAACATCACTCAGCGCTAACCCCTGCTGTTTGCTTTAGAAATCATCCATGTCCAGTATCAGGCCCTAAAAATACACTTAGCGCTGCTCAACACCCGGTCACGGTCCCGCCGAGGTCCTCAGTCCTCAGGTACGCCACCGGTCGCTCTCTGTTTGCCCAGCAGATAAAGATGATAAATGTCACAACATGGAATGCTAAACGCTTTGTTCCCGGCACCGTGATTTATGGTAAAACTTTGACTTGGACTACTTCATCTTCCAGGCTTCCTCAGTAATGCCCCTGCCCCGGCTTCAACCTGCCACAGCTACTGTAACTGTTTGATTTACGCACACCTAGCATGACATGACAGCGCACATGGGAATTATTTTTTCGGGGAGTCACGTCGTCGGTTTCTGTAGGCGAATCTTGATTTATGGCTGAACGTATCATTCAGGATCAGCTTGTTCTGTTTTATAATCAGACGTGTAGCATAAAAAAAAATTAATTTACAGATCGAAACTAGCTTGTTCTGTTTTATAATCAGACGTGGAGCATAAAAAAAAAGAATTAATTTACAGATCGAAACGAACGTTAATAACGCCAAATACTTTAAAGTAGTTTTGATGGTTTTATTAAGTGCATTTAAATACATAAACACACACAGATACTGCAGTACATGGTAAAAACAATTTTACACAAAGCTTAAAAAAAAAAAAAAAAATCAGAAAACAAGCGTACCAAACAAGCAATATTTACATCTAAAAAATATAAAACTTTTTATTTGGAAAAAAACAAAAAACAACAAATAAAAATAAATTTTTATATTTTAAAATTTTAGACATCATCTGCAAAGAAAGAGATTTTAAAAAGACCTGCTAACGTCGATGATTGGATTTAGACGTCATCTGCAAAGAAACACATCTTGAACGGCGTTAAAACGGTTGATATAAACACGGAGACACGCAGGTGTTGACAGTAAAAGCCTGAAAGCTGAAAGTGTTTTATATTTATAGTCATTTATATATTTTGAGGTCCAGCTTTTGCTTCGCAGCTCTGACAGTGTATAAGAAAACGTTGTTTTTTTTCTTCCCTCTGAAAATCTGAGAGCCTGAGAGTCACGGCGGCCTCGCGGCAGTCACCCTGCTGCCCACGGGAGAAACGGAAAAACAAAGTTTAACGACGCCTAAAACATAAACAAATACACAGGCACTGTTTTAATCCACTTCAAAGACAGCAGTAAAAACACTGCCTTACATGGATCCACGTGTCTGAAATATATATTTTTTATACAAATGTCTACATTATGATACAGTGTATGGCTTACCGGAAATTATCGATTTTTTGCACAAAAACTTAAAATGCAACAATGGCAGAGTGAATAACGAACAACGTACAGAAAAGATTTGTTTTTGCATAAACTGTACCGTAGACGTCGAAAAACGGTGCTCGTGTCGAAGAGAATCTCCTGAAAATACACCTGTGATTTCATCAACACTTTCTTCTGCGTCACTCAAGGCACTGAAACCATTCATTTGTCTCTTCTTTTTTTTTTTTTTTTTTTTTGACAGTGCAGAGATTTTTTGGTACAAAGTCACGAAGGCAAACTTGGATATTTTGGCACGTGGGCTGTGAGAGGCAGCTCAAACACACGCAGCACCAAGGCTAGGTGCTGTGGTGCAGAGGAGGACCACGGTCCGGACCGTCGGACCGTCGGACCGTCGGACAGTCCGCTGATGCTGCGACATGTGCGACCGCGCTGAGGCTGGACTGACCTGTTTGGATTTGACACATTTACACTCCTTACACCGCGTCGACCAGTGAAACCAGTGTCTGCACATGAGCTCTTTGTTCCAGTTCACACACCAAAATAAAAGACTAGATTAGGCAAAGATTGGACACCACTGATATGTTTCCAGTCAAATCCCTAAAGCCTATGGCTCTAAACACCACACAGGTTGATCTCTTTTTGTTTTGTTTTTTTTTACAGTGATCCTGAGGCACTGTTTGTTTTCAGGTGATTAGTCTTTGGCGTGCGTCGTTCTCTCTGAGCTGACGGCGTGAGTCTCTGATTGCATTAGCAGTGGCAGCTCTCGCTCCGGTTCCTCCATCTCCTCTGCAGGAGTATGAGTTTCTGAGCCGAGCTCGTGACCTTCCAGCTCCTCGTCGTCATCCGGCGCTGCTCCCTCTGCCTCCCTCCTCGCCCTCTCCTCCTCCTCCAGCTGCATCCTCCGCTCCTCAGCCTCGATCTCCTCCGTGGTGGGGATGGAGTTCTTCTTGGGTCTCCCCTTGGGTTTGGTGGGGGCCTCGTGACCTCCTTTGAGCACCTAGAGTGAGACGCAGGAAATGTTTTAGACCTGCGGCAATAAATGTGACACGGGTCAAAGGTCAAAGGCAGCGGCGGCTACAACAGTAATTAACAGAAAACGCTGCTGCTGCTGCTGCTGCTGCTGCTGCTGCTGCTGCTGACCCCACCCTCACTCATCCATAAAGACTTCAACCCCACCTTTGTTCACGGACCCTTCAACAGAAGTGTTTGCTTTCACTGCCACCAACATCATCATCATCATCATCATCATCATCATCATCATCACTGTCACTCAAACCCCAACACAACACCTAGTCTTTCCCGCCTTTTCTTAATTCTCACTTTTCAAAATACGAGTGTCAGTGAAGTCCCTTTATTTTAAAACAGCTTTATTTTATTTTATTTTATTTTATTTTATTTTATTTTATTTTATTTTATTTTATTTTATTTTATTTTATTTTATTTTATTTTATTTTATTTTATTTTATTTTATTTTATTTTATTTTATTTTATTTTATTTTATTTTATTTTATTTTATTTTATTTTATTTTATTTTATTTTATTTTATTTTATTTTATTTTTCAGTGTTTCCGTGGAGCCAACCCGACTAAACTCTGCAGCTGGTGAACTTTGATAGACGTGATCTTGTGCAAATATTTGTAGACAGATATGTCAGGTCTTGACTTACCATTTTTTTCCACTTCATGCGCCTGTTCTGGTACCACGTCTTCACCTGGAGCTGCGTGAGGCCGAGGGACTGGGCAAGGTCTAACCTGTAGATCCACAGAGAAAACCAACGGCACATGAGAGGGAAGTATTCCACAGATGTGTACACAGCAACAACTAGAGGCAGGAGGAAGAAAAAATCTGCAGAGGTTTGAAAACGTTTCCACTTAATTGCGGTCATTGTTGGTTTTGATGAAGAACCGCAGACGATAAAAGAAACTTTGTCTTTGTGCCTTGAGGCCAGACTGACATTTTCATCCAATTCCACTAATACTTTAATCTCACTTTAATAAAGACAATCCTGGGCGTGTTTAAGGACCTTTCAGAATCGTGATGATCGCGATGACAGTTTGGAATTACCAAAGTGCTAATTATTATAATTGAACTCTAAATTGTTGTTATTGTGTAACATTATTCACTTAATGTTTTTAGGGTTTTGCAGTTTTCTGTCCACACTCCATTCAAGGATCCAAGACGAAGAAAAGGAAGAAAGGAAAAGTGAAGAGAGAGAAAAGTTATCTTTGGATGAAAAACACGCCAAAGTGGGAGCACGTCACGGCTTTGATGTGCAGCTGGAGAAGGGGATTTTTTCTCCTGAGTTGTTTTTCCACGGGCGGGGTATTTAATTAATTTTTAAAACAGCATCAGAATCAGATGTTTTGACAGGACACGGTATTTTGGCACGGTCAGACCAACTGTGGTTGGTGTTGATCGTGGAGTTCAACTCTACCCCCCCGTCCCGGGGCTCCTCATTAAAGACAAGGCCTGGCGCGGCTCCAGCCCTTCCATGGAAGCCGACATGTCGTATATTTATGAATGCATCGTGGGAGTTTTCCCCGTGGACAGGATGTACAAGGGAATACAAACACTTGTGATTCAATCCAAATATGCAAATGTCTCCAGACTGGATGCTGTGAGGAGATAACACACGTCGTTGGAGACAGCTGTGTGCACAGGCAGAAATGCATGGACGTGTCGAGCGCGGAGCCAGTTTTTAATCGTTGCTGGTTTAACCATCATGTCGACACACATTCAAAGAAAGAAAATCATCGGAGCGTTCCGGTGAAAGGAGAGCGAGGGGGGAGTGAGAAGGTGAAGTGAGGAGACGTCACACTGCAACAAAAACAACTTCATATTATATTAGTATAAATATAATCAAAGAAAGTCGTTACTGTTTATTCTAAGTTTATTAAGTTGGACGCCTCGCAAGATTATTTGGGAGGATTTTTTGGAAACAAAAATGAGACTTATTTCATTTTGAGTCATTTTCACTTTCTTGATTTTTTTTTTTTTTTTTTTTTTTTTGCAGTGCAGCAACACGTGGCTGAGTCTGAAGTCAGTAAATGACCTAAAAAGTCAACACACCTTGCAGCTTAAAGAAGTCTGACCAGTTACTACATACGGATGTGTTCTCACTCTCACCACTGTCTCAGTGGGCGTGGACGGCGACGACTGAAGACATAATTGTTGGTTACACGTCGTTAGCTTAAACGTATTGTCCTCATTTTTTTTTTTTTTTTTTATTTTTTTTGTGTTTTTTTTTTTTATGTGGAATTTTTTTTTTTTGTGGTCAGTTGGTCAGTGACCTCTCACTCTCACCCTCTACCTCACCTCTCTCACTGACTGTCTATCTCTCTCACTCTCACTCTCTC